AGAAACATTATTCATCCGTAAAGGCCGTGCTACTTCTCGTATATTGAAATTCTCAAGAAGACGGAAAAAATATTTCTGCAAAGCCAGATCTAGTTTGGGAGTAAGGTAATTCACTCTTCTGGTACGGAAAAGAATCAAAGGCATTGACTTGCTCTATGCTACTCGTTACCTATGCAGCCACCACAGTAATCGTTTACGGTAGACATTCGACGAAACGATTGAAGTTTTCCGCGGACCATGACAATACCAACAGTGCATTCATCCGCTCATCAAAAGGCTCTCCAAATATATTCACTCCAGAACACGGAGTGCACACAATCCCGTTCTCTACAGAAGAATTATTTAAGCTCCTTCTTGCTTTTGAAATAGCCTCAGATATTGGTCCTGTGGGTCTATCTTCATCACTTTTGGGACACTGCACTTTTGCTCTGACAGATATATTTACTCCTCTCAGACAAACCACTGGGAAAGCATTCTATTTCCGATTGCTGGAGACCAGTCATTACTGTTCCTGCATCTCAATCTTTTAATACTGGTGACATACCTGAACGCTTTCACCGCACTCCTGTAACTTAATCAGGTCTTGAACTTACAGAGCTTGCCATTATCAAACGTTTGAAGTCTTCTGTAAGCTCTCCCGTTGACCCCTTACAGTTTGCCTATACTCCGAATAGGTTCACAGTGGAGTCATCGCTTCCTTAGTACATCATATACACAAATCAATCGATCAGATTTGTGAGCGTGATGTACTAGTCTCGATAATGCACCCGGTTTGGTTTCTATTCCGTGGTCTCATTCTAGGTAACCTGAAAGCTTTCGATTGTCTCATACCTTTGTTGGCATGACTGTTTGATTAGTTTTCATAGAACTGTGGTAAATAAAATAAGGAGTGCTTCAGCTAGCTGCCCTTTCTTCTATATGCTTTCCAACCATGCTAGTGACCTTTTGTCCAGTTTTCCTGCACACTTGAATAAATATGCCAATGATGTGGGTCATTGACAGGCTGATTCTTTCACCCAGGATTTCACTAACGTTTCCAGTATTCTGTGCCGTATGTACGTTTGACCCCGTTCAACTTTTAATTCTTCCAAATGCTTCCAATGTATATTTACCCCTTCCCAACCAACTTGTCCTTGCGGTTCATTTGCCTTTTCCGCAGAACCTCTAACTCAGTCGATACAAATCCTGAGTGGCAATCTCACATTCCAAACCGTGTGAAAAATCTTCATCGGCTACATCATAAAATCCAAAAGCCCAGACATCGAATGTTCGTTAGAGTACTATTTTCCTTTCAGTTTGGTTATTGTAGGTCTAAGAATGATTCGAAATTCAACATCGAGGTCTGTCTGGTATCCGTCAGGTACCTGTTATGCCTTCAAACGAATTATCCGTTAAGTTGTGCGACTTACACCCAGCGACATATGAAACTTTTGACTACGAAACATTTCCAGGAAGCACCCACCCCTTACACGGGGATCCATCCAAGCGCAACTCGCTCGCCTCTACTTCTTCTTGTTTTCGATCCGTACCCTCTCGCATTGATATCCACATAAACACTACCGTCGGATATCCGGCACCTGTCCTCGCAAAAAGGCTCGCGTATAGGCTGAACTTCTGAGCAGTTTTGTCACGTTTTCGTTTTTTATTCACCACCCACCCCTGATTCAATCAGTTGACAAGTGTAATTTTTTTCTGAGTGGAATGTAAATGTCAGTCTATGTTCTGTACGAACATATATATATATATATATATATATATATATATATATATATATATATATATATATATATATATATATCGGGATCAGATAGCCAAAAATGATACACATCAACGAGAACTAAAAATATTCACTGCGATTTATTTTTCTTCGACTATCTCTTGAAAAACAATGTTTTATGGTTTTGATCACAGAGAAGATCAAAAAACTAAAGAGAGGGATATTTATGATCTCAAGTCCACATTTTCAGATGAACGGACACCGATCATACGATTGATCTCGCACTACTATCTAACTAGTTAATTATTCAATAAAGTTTATTTCACCAAAAGGTTTTCACGAGGCTGGACTCCGAGTGATTATGACTCCAGTCTGTCTGCAGGCATTCGCAACTGGAAGTCAGGCTGGATTATTCTGTGCTCAGATCTCGCCTCTGGCCGTCACTCGCAGGATCACGACATCCATGAAGCCGGCTCGTCCTGTGATAGGAGCTTGCCACATATAAGTAAAATAAGTTACCTATGAGTCGAAATTTGAAATCTTCAATGAAAATTGTTTTCCTTTTTCAGACTCAGACAAAATGGTTGTTGATATTTCTCAAAAGTAGAGACGTGAACTGTGAGCGGTAATCGATCTTTCTCGTTAGCGATGGTGAACTTTGCGGTATCGATCACACGACTGATTTCACTAAGATGTTAGTACAGTAAACTGCTCAATGGATTTTATTCCAACAGACAAATTTTAAGAGGCTAACGAATATTCGGGAATCGGATCAACTGTGGCCCAAGACACATTTTGAACCGTGAGAAAGTCGAGCCTTACTAATGTAATGCTTATCAGCACATTATTTTTGTGAAAATAATCAGATAGAAAACGAGTGAGCAGGTGAATCATACAGGTCTATTTTTGCATTGACCCACACACCTCATCTTAGTAAAAGCTTCCATACAACGAGGAAGTCATCCCAGTAAATTAGGGAATTTTCACCGATTTCAGAGTGTTACCCATCACATCAGCGACAAAGAATGGCAAATCCAAATCCCAGCTCATGAGTTTTGTGAAGGGTATCCTGTGAAATGAGAATTCATGTTGGCAACCACTAACACAGCAAACCAGATGCCGTCACATCTCTTATAAAATATACATCTTATCTTCAGTCGACCGAAAATGTAAACCTGGTAAAATTTGGTTTTCAGGGCTATAGTGATTTACTCAGTCACTATGAAAAGACACATTGCTTGCCATTTTGTCGACAACCGGTATGAGAACATCCATAGCGACATAGATATCCGATAGTCTCACAAACGATGGGCAGCATTTCCAATGATATCTTGCCCAGAACTTCTCAACATTGCTTTCAGCGACAAAATCCGTCGGCTGATTCCCATTCGGATTCCGTCTTTCACTCACAATCCCCAGGTGATCCGACTAACCCAAACTCGGAAGCACCCAACTTGTGTTTCATTCTTGTCAGAACTCTTCAGTGGCACGTATCCTCTGCCGCACCCAGGGTTTGAACTGGAATGCGTATGTGTTACCACCGCGCCACCCCGCTTCCGTCCGGGCCTATCAGAATCACCGAGTAAAGTTATGTTGGATGCCGTCCTCTATGACAGCCAGAAATACCCGGCAGCCTCGAATGGAGACATCGTATCTGTCCCGTTGACTCCAAGCGAATGTCTCTGACTAAATCAGGTCTTCTTCACAGAATGGTCCATCTTACTCACATTTGAACCTGTTTCGCTTCTTATATGCATACATAATGTATATCTTGCAATCACTCGCGAGTGGTGTCGAGGATTTGTGATACTTTGTTGGTTGGCTCTCAGTTGTAATTGATCTTTCAATTGGTGAGGGGAATTTGTGCGTGAGAAGTGAAGTACAAGGGAGATTCAGCCAGCACAGTTCCAAATATATGATAGGAATGCATATTTTTGAAAGACCGAGTGCTGTGCGATTCGGACTTAGATGGGATGTTGATTGCTCAAAGTTGGGAAAATTTGGTGTAACAAGCACATGTGGGTTGAATTGGTAGTTCTCCGTCACGATCAAAACGTCACTATCGATGTCACCTTTATTTCGCCTCAGTTTTCAAAAAATTGGATCCAGTTCGGTCCCTAGTCTCTCGTATGCAAAAGATGTGTTACAAGAAAACAGTGAGTGAGGAAGTAGGCTGGATAAGAAAGAAGCTACTGAACAATGAGGACCTGAAATGTTTCAATCAAAAGAACACATCGGAAGTACCCAAGCGACCACCGTCAAGAAGAAAGAATTCCACATACGGCTCCTTTTCAAAGGAGATGATGTTAAAATCGAACTGATAGTTCGGCGCCTAAGTGACCCAATCAACGACACATTTTCCTCCGCCACTTTGCGCCTCCACCTCACTATCCCGTCAGGGTTTTCTATGAATTTCAAAGACCAAGTGTAGGTCTTTCCCCACTCAGTGTTACACTATAGACTTGTTTCCTCAAGTTCGGCAGGCTATGCAGGAAAAGCGAAATAGCATCTGTATCAAAGAACACAATCCGGCTTGATCATGAACTAGAAGAAGCGTGACTGGTGCAATCGGAGAGCTCCTAGCCAACAAAGAGCACCAGGCCGACGACTAAACCTTCGAGAAAGTTTACAAAATACCTGTTGATTTGTCGAAGACCGTTCGTCAAATCCATTTGAAAACGGTGGAGACAATAGCGAATAGGTTGTTCGACTCTTTGCTTTGTTTCATACAGGCGATCCGGAAAAGGGTAGAAAATCTAGATGACCTCGACAGTGACGTTTCATTCGTGATGGAGAGCAAACAACCCATCCCAGATATACTGTCTACAACGGATTTTCCCAACTTTGAACAACCAAATTCCAAATCTCTTCCGAATCGCACGACACCTGCAACACTGATCAACCAATTCGGATTTGATACTGTAAACACTGCTTTTCCCGAAAAGTTTCATTCCTGTCAAATTCATGTAAATATATTAGCCAGAGGATGAAGTTATTGAAAGCGAGCTTGTTCTCCATTGTGCCCCTTTTCTGATGTTATTTACGAGTTATATGAAATAGCCGCAAAACGCAGTGATTCCTGGACCGTGGGCTGCCCTTACTAGACACGGAATCACGGACAAAACTATTTGTGAACCGATTCATGGACAGCTTGACACCACTCTTGTAATCGAAGTTTCATGAATGTATTCTAGTAGGTGAACTCGGTCCGTTATTTGGCCAGTTTTGGCGCTCCCTCAATCACCGCCGCCTTTGAGGAAGGCCCAGAATTTACGAAGAAAATATGCCAGAAATATCGCACTATGAGAATTCAACCATGATTGATGGGGCATTCGAAGCCGGAAAGCCAGACCAATGTTTGTCTTTGGATGCAGTGCTTATTGAGATTGTGCACGGCAAAGAAATCCAAGCACAAATTGTGATCATGACCGGGAAGACGTTTTCGTTGAGGGTAGGTGTGCAGTTGTTTCCTGATCCAATCCGTTGGTTAGTGAGGGAGTCAAACTCTGAGCCATTCAGATGAAGACCGTTAGCAACCCTCTTCTGAATACTGATGGATCGGCACAACGCGCAGTTCCTGTTGACATAGTAAAGATTATGTATGATCCTGTGATGTGATGCGAAACCAGATCTCCGATAAACTTCGATGTGAGAATCGATCTCTCTGTTTGAGACCTCCACACAAATGTCGGGTAGATACCTACCTCATCGGAATGGGGATGATAGTCCGCATGAATGGGCACATTCTTGTTAGAGAAAGACTGTGGTACAGTAGGTATATATATCACTGTAATAAGTTAATCACTGCCTCAAAACCGTGGCATTTTAAGCGAAAAGAAACTCAAGTTTGTCAAACGAACAGAGCCCAATGATCTGAGACAAGAATTAGAAACTGTGTGATTACTTCATCCAGACGAAGAAACACTGGATCATGGCTCACCATATATATCTTTCATGCAAATGACCAGTTCAGTTGTGGATTATTCATTTTGCTATTGTCCGAAACCATAAATGGAAATGAGATAAAAGCCAACTCACATCTGTTGTGAATAATGATATCAATAGTACTAGTAATAGTAGTGGTAGTGGCAGTAGTAATAGTAGAAATTAAATTAGTGTTATTCATGCGCGGTGAACATGCTACTTTCTGAATAAGTAAGCAGCTGGTTGCTCAAAAAGCAAATATGGACATTTGTGGATAAATAACGAACGCGGCTATGTCAAAGGAACCAGACACAATACGGTAACCGAGGGCATGCAAAACACGTGACTGCTCCTCCTTCTGGACAATGACTGCATTCAAGTAGACTTAACGGCCGGTATGCCTATAAGCATTGTTGTATCGATTGGTTAATTTTGGTGACAACGAAACGAGTGTTTCTCTCGACAACCTGCTGAATAGGCACGTCTTCCGGATTATATCAGTGGTAATGTTAGCAGTAAAAGTTGTGATATCAGTAGTAGTAGTAGTATGAGTAGTAGGTTTTTTTTCTGCTGCTGTCGTTCATTTTACTGCTGATGATCCATCGTAGTCTTTACTGGTTATGATTTCAACTCTTTCGTAATATAAGTGCACACTAGTGGTATTCTTCTTCTCCTTTCTCTCATAATAACATGTTTGTTTTTCGCACCAATTCACCGGTTTTTCTTTGAAGGTAATACCTCTTGCATTTAAACATGCTCAATCCAACTATGAATTTCTTCCTGTGTATTTACGCTCACGGTATTCCTAAGAATCAGCATAGTCCAGTATGAGTTCACGATTTGCTGCATTATTGTACATTTTCGGATACCGTGTAATATATGAACCGAAACACAGCTTGAAATGTATTTCAAACCCGTGGAATTAGGATCTCGTAGTTGATTGATTGGACCATACTAGTAAAGATAATCCCTTCTAGCCGGCCGTATTAGTATTTAACTGTCCTCAGTTGACTTATATCATTTCTCCTCGTCACGACAATTGCTAATTGCTCAGATTCCATTCAGGTGACTTCGAATTGTTCCATTGTGGCTTTATTATATCACTTTCTGACATTTGCGATTATTTGTTTGACATCCTTCGACATTTCTGACATTCACACTTTCGTTTCACATCCCAAGCAACTCTGCATTGAACAGAAAGCTTGGAGTTTAACCTGTGAGGATGCAATTCCGTCATCTTCTTCCCGTTAAGTTCTGTCCGAATTCCCTGTAGTCATGTGTAAACTATGACTTCCAGGTAAATGATAATGCATTGGAATTAGAAAAGACACATTTGAGGTTGGAGGACCAGGAAGCAATCAGATGAATCACTGAAGTCAAAAGATGAGCAACAGCTGCCTTGAAATGCGATGGGATTACTGATATCACTGACTAAACAGATGAAGTCAGTGTTGACAAACTCGTTACTGTTACGCTCCCTATTATGGAAACGGAGGTTACGACTTCACTTTCAAGGTCTCGATGTGACTAGAAATCAGTAATGCGGATAGAAATTACGTGTTGAATAGGAAAGTACGATGATCTGTATGGTTGTTGAGAAGTCTGAGGCTGTCTGCTTGTCATTTATCACGCTATTTTTGAACTGATCGACGAAGAAATAGCATTGCACATTACAAGTGATGCTTAGCATTGCCTGCATTTCTTTCGTAAAGAGGATTATCGTCGTTGCCCTGGAAGGCTGCTTGCTATATCCAACAGTATGCGGGTATGTCCGGGTCAGAGGGATTCTGACGGAAATGTCCGAACAGCACCACATTATTTTAAGAGTATATCAGAAAATTTCACAGACAAAAGAAGGGGCTCAAGAATGATCCATTTGCCAGTCGCATGCCGTTGGATTGTGTTTACCAAGCCCCTGTATAACCATCGTGAGGATTTAGGCCGAAATTTTACACCACAACAGAATAAGTAGAAGAAAATTGAAACAAGTTTTGTGGTCAAACTTCTGCTGTCGATGGATTTTTGTGAGACGGCTTCATCGATGAGGGAGAATTGAGCTATAGATAGCCAGTAGAAATCGTGTAAATTCAACGAGGATCATTTGTATGTTTACTTACTGTGGAAAGATAAATCAGCGAGCGTTGAGCGTGTAGTGTCTTAATGACACGTGATTGATGATCCCGTTATATTTCTATTATTTCTCCCGATCGTATCCTTATATCGCGTGAATTCTGATACCATTTTTATCCTTCCTTCTCATCTGAACTTTGCTGCAAGTCTTTGAGTGACAGATACTTTATCACAAAAAGGTTTCATGATCTGCGTTAGTCGCGTTCGGCTGCGCTGCTTCTTAACTTGAATCGTTGCCGGTCGATTCACTCTTAGCTTTGTATGACTTTGTGATCGGCTACTGCTGTGGTTTATTATTTCTGAAAAGTAAATGGCGTTATTGATGTTTATATTCGTAATGTCACACCTTCATACTGAATGTCTTTGATTCTGATTGAGTTCGCTTTGTTCACTGCGCGTCACTCAACTAACCCGGTAAGGCAGTTACAAAGCGTAACCACTTTGATACACACAACTGTTTCACGTCTCTCAGTAGCCAATTGCACCGGGATGTCGACTTCAAGGGGGCAAACACCGGTGTCTTAAATGGACATTTGTGGATTAGTTATGTGATTCGTGTGTTTGGAAGTTTTAGCGATATTGTTTATGTTGATATTTGTCACATCACGTGGTGGTAAATCCAAAGAATCCGGCAATCATCAGAGTGCTTTTCGCTTACAATAACAAAATTAATGATGAATCAATAAACCAGCACTTGTTATCAGGTTCACACGCAGCTGTTAGTCTGACCGGGCTCCCATCACAGATAAGGCAACAATTCGTTGCACTATCTTCCATTATTAGGGATATGTTTGTACAGGTTCGGTACCTAAAATTGACTCAACACTTGAATTTGACGTGACAAAAATGCGACAGATCAAGATTTTATTGGGTAATCTCACATTTCGTACGAATGATCGGCTGCCCAATTTTGTTCGACGTATTTCCACTTCCGGTGTTCTCTATCTCCCCGGCCGTCATGGCCGGAAGTGCAATTATCTGCCCACCGCTGCGCTTGTTCGGCCAATTACTGGCCATAAACCCTTCAGAAACAACGAGATCTGTTCCCTATGTGAACTTGACCATTACCGTAAAATGAACAGGGAGGGAATTCTAAGATCCAGCAGTTATTTAATTTTCGCACATCACCTGTGTAGGTCTAAGTTATCTTGTGTGCTAGATCTTATTGGGAGGAGTTACACATAGAAAAACATCATCACTTTTGACAGTGGAGCTTTCCATGAAATACGACGTACTTGGTGCATTTCAATAACGAGTTCAAAAGATATTTTGGATGTAATTATTTAGTAAAGAATAACAACAACCACAACATCAACAAAAGCTTATGGATCCCTGTGATCAAACATGCATCATTGGTCGACAGTTGATTGACAACTAACGACGAATTAATCAGACAACTTTCAAACTATTTCTATCGCTCAATGAACCGTCCACGGCTTGTATCCTACATTATTACATACATGCACACAAAAACACATTTGCACACATGCATCCAGAGACACTTAAAAACGACAAACGTAAAGTAAATCTAAGCATGAGTTACCACCTATTATAGTCTGTTCTCACTCATCGACATAAGGACCCAGTCAGTTTCATGTATGAAGCGAGAGCGTTTAAAAGTAAAATCGCTAAGGGTAATGATGAACAGATATTACACACTTTACCGGAAGTGATAGTTATCTGACTGGGATATGGATTGGTTTTGTGACACCCTTGTGAACCGGATATTTGTTTCCTTCCGTTTAGATTTATTACATTTGCTATGCCATCAGTTTCACTGCAAAAGGCCAAAGCAGTCCCAAGGAAACAAAAAAAGTGAGTTGATCAACCCGATTGCAGACATTTTCGTGATGAACAATAGGCGTTAGTTAAACTATTTGGAAGCACTCATGTAACACTACACTGTTAGAGGTAATTTCGTTCTCATCGTCTCGGTTGGATGTTGCCATGTGGAATTCACCGCATAGTGGAGTGGGTGCTACTTACAGAATAAACCAGTGGTTTATCTCTCAAAATACACTGACGGATAATTTCGAAAATAATAATAAACCCGATTACGTCAGAGAGAGTGCCCTTCATAAGAATAAGAAAGGCCTGTGAACTGCAAGATTGTTCCATATACCAAAGCGTCATTCCAATGCAGCGTAGCAAACCCATTGTTCTTTGAGTGACTAACAGAATTCCAGGAGTGTGTTCGGCTCGCAATCGACAAATAACTCGCAAAAATCAAGGAGATAGCCTTAATAAAATGGGTTTCCTTTCATGGCCTTATTCGACAGTGTTTGGTATGCTACTCGTCCATATATAGCTTGTAATTAGAACCCAAATTGCTCGTGGCCATCTACGAAAACAAAAACAATTTGATGAAAATCTTGTTCTTCTCTGGTGCCAACTACA